TCAAATTATCAATTTTCAATTCCCGAATTTATAGCGTTTGGCGTCTATTGTTTTTCGCTTGCGCATATTGCGTGACCTGAGGTCAACAAAGCGGAATAAAGATACATTTCAAATGTTCCAAACGTGCAAAATCGCAATAACCGCTCTTCCGTGTTTCCAACCCCTAAAAATGACATTATCTTTCAACTAACTCGTATCAGCTTTTGTAAATTTGCCAGAAGAGCCAGGAAAACGAATATGCAAATTAGCTTTGGCTATATTTTCTTATTTTGGGGGTTATTTTTGAAAAAAAACACCCCAAGGTCATATTTACTAAGCGAAACATACACGTATAATCTCCTTCAACTGGTAAGCCATGTTTCTAAGATGTATTATATAGTACGTCTAGCTGCTGTTCATTTTGTACCAACTCACGCTCACTCGCTATATTTTAGAAATATGCCGCTGAATTCTTCCGGGGTTGCTAGTCTATTGTTCTTTTAACTTTTCATATTTTTGTCATACCCTCGCCCGTTGCTTGATAAGTTATCACTGTGCAAATAGCATTACATCGCGGCGTTCATCGGTAATTCGGGAATTTGAAATTACAACTTACTAACTAACTGCAAACAAATTCTGTGCATGTAAAGAAATAATTTAGCCGATTCGCAAAACTGGAATTTTAGTTGTTTTCCAGTGAAGCAGAACATGATCATTCAGACTGGGGCAAGTTTATTACTCGAAATTGTATTTGTTTCTCATAACACTATTCACTATTGGTTATTGCAAGAGCTACATGGACAAAACCGCTGTGACTATAATGTACAAGTAATGAGGTAATAATCTGAGCAGGTACTCCACCGGAATTGCAATTAGAGGTGTAGTTTTATGCCGTTGAATTAGTCGAGTCGTGTGTGGCATTTCTTTTATACAGGCGCGTACAATTCGTTAGTCGTTTGACGTAATCGTGTCATTTTGCCTACAACTTCCTGGATCGAGGAGGATCGACGGGGATGATGTTTGTACGCACGCCGTCGTGTCTAATGACTTAATATTGTCCTGTATTGCGTTCAATCTATTTACATGTACTTATTTCACGTTTGATTGGAATATAAAGAGTTGGAATTATTGCCATGAATAGTGGGATAACTATATTGAAATAAAATCGGTGTTTCTCTGAAGTCAGATAATCAGAACTTGCTTGCCTTCTACAGGTTGAACATATAATGTTCTTCCTCGTGGTATGTAGGACAGAAATTACTATAATTATACACGATTGTTTTTTAGTCCCTGTTCGGACGCAGTCCGAAAACGGGGACTTATGTTTTGACCCTTGTGCGTCCGTGCGTCCGTGCGTCCGGTATCTTAGAAATACCTGGGTCAATCATGATCAAACTTCACACATACATCATACATGATATTATACATATGCACATCGATTTGTTTCACGATCTGATTCAAGATGACCGAATGGCGGCCATTTTGTGCTAACAAATCACCAAAATCAAGCATTTCCCGGCTGTTTACAGATGGATTTTGTTTAAACTTGGTATACACATTAGACATAATGGGATATTGATGCACATAATTTTGTTTTTCAGATAAGATTCAAAATGGCCGACTGGCGGCCATTTTGTTTCAATGAATGTGGTTCTCGTGCCATATTTCTGACTTGCTTTGATTGATTATGTACAAATTTTAAATATTCATTATACATCATGTCATAGATATACAGATATATTGGTTTGACGATCCTATTCAAAATGGCCGAATGGTGGCCATTTATTTGCTAAAAAATCATCAAATATCAAGCATTTCTGGCATGGATGGATTTCGTTCAAACTTGGTACATACATAAGACATTACGGGTTCCTGATGCACGTCATTTTATTTTTCAGATCTGATTCAAAATGACTGACTGGCGTCCATTTTGTTTTAATGATTGGGATTTTAGAGCCATGTCTCTGACATGCTTTGACTGATTATGTTCAAATTTTATATATTCGTTATACATCATGTTATAGATATATACATGTATTCAAAATGGCTGATTTTGAATGCTGTTCCAGAGCAATATCTCTCAATATGGACAAGTACTTGTTTGATGATCAGATACAAATGTCAATCATTTTAATGTTAAAAAATCATATTCCTGACATGGTTATTTTCCAGCTATATTACTATATACAAAACTATATCTTAAATGTTATAACTAACGGGAACTGTGTCATGCATGACTTGTTTTATATGGTTTCATTTAAATCAGTGCATTCCACTGTGGTTTATAGTACACACTTTCTCAGAATACCAAAGTAAACCATAATGAGAATAGTTGTTCTGTTAACCCTAAACACGTGACGAACATTTTACTTGATTTTAGACGAAATGAACACGCTTCCCACGTAGTTTCTGTAACGTGAACACTCGCCCCAATCTTTGGGGCAAGTGGCCACGTCTTGATTTCAAACAAAAACAAGTAAGACACTTATGCGCATGCGTTCGATTTGTCACGTTTGAGTAACTAGCCATAAACGCATAACAATTCCCGCCAAATTTGGTACGTTTAATAACAATCTATTTGTCATCTTCTTTAGGTGTATTGATTTACGTTTCGCCGCATTATGTATACATTCAGCCATGAGTGATTACTTTAGCGATAATCACTAAATCATGGCCAATGTTATAAACTGGTCATTGTCTTAATTCTAGAAGATTATAGATCAAACTGACTGAAAACGTTCGCAACCGCATAATTCAAATCCCAGAGGTGTCATCATTCTCATCGTCATTCATAATTATGTTTGCGATCAATTGCTTTCAGGTTTAGTGGTTTCATCAAAGAAATAGCGTAAATTCTGACCTACATTTTACAAACTGATCAAGTCTATTACTAAACTAGACTTCCAGTACTTGGAATGGTATTTGTTTTTGTCTGATAAAGACTTTTCGTTTTTGACATTATCAAGTTCTTTTGTTTTGGAGATAACAAACTGAATAATTCATAACGAAATGTATTCCATATACTTAAAATTGATAATTTTCCTATTTACCGATAACACAGGAATATTACAGAAAAAAAATTGTAATGTTCTCTCTATATTTTTCCAAACTATATAGTTTGCACAACAACCCATGTAGGAACAATAACTTTAATAACAATGTTTTTATTTACTGTTTTACTTACTGTACTTTTCTGGAATGAACGGAAAGTCTCTATGATAGTATTTAATGCAGCAGCTACACCGACAAAATCGCCGCGATTACAAGTATTGAATTAATAATCTCAGAAAATGCCCCCCCCCCCACCAAATTTGCAATTTGGTTTGCAATCGGAAGAGTTTGCCTAATGTGTGACATTTCTTTATACAGGCGCTAACAAATTGTGATTCGTTTTTCATAATCGTTCTTGTTATTATCATACCTGACTGACTGGACCGAGGAGGATCGACGGGGATGTTTGTACGCACACCGTCGTGTCTAATGACTTAATATTGTCCTGTATTGCGTTCAATCTATTTACATGTACTTATTTCACGTTTGATTAGAATATAAAGAGTTATAGCCTGAATAGTGGGATAACTATGTGCCTTGGTGATGGATACAACGTGTGGGTGTCCCCATAATCATAGCCAGGCTTACATTATATGAACAAAGTCAGCGTTACTCTGAAATAAGATTGTTAAACGTGATTATGAGCGTGTGTCAGATCATCAGTACGTGGATGTGTGTGTGAGGGCGGGGTGTATTGTAGAGGTAGAGCATACGAGTGTTCTGCAATTGTATTTGTCTGTGTTTCTCGGCACACGGATTAACTATGCTTCGTGTTATGTATGACAGACATCACAATAGTTATAGATGATCGGATTCAATAAAGCCAACATTGGTTTAATTTAAAGTAGACTGTATTGCATTCTACTGTAGTTCATAGTATACGCTTTGTAAATCATACTTGTCAAACCCTATTAAGACCAGGCACTTTTAAATAATTTTACTTAATGGTAGTA